CCTCAAGCAAATCAAAACTGAAGAAACTTACACGTAAAAGGGTTGAATTTATCCAAATATTTTTTTTCAAAATTTTCATTCCAATATTATACTCTAATTAACACTGCCAATATTTCCAAAATCATAAATTCATTCAACAAAGAAATCATATCCATGTATATTATTTTCATGCAAAGTCCCACTAAACTGAAACAAAAATCTAGCAAGGTTTCATGCAATCCACACAGTGCAAAGAAATTATCTAACTCACAGGATGGTGTTTCACTCTTCACTCATCAATATTTCAAGCTAAGTGTTTCCCCTCAATTCATGCATTTTGCCTCACCCTACCATACGGTTGCCCATATTCTCAATCTCCTTTGCCTAGATACAATGAACCACCTATCATAAGGGCTTTGTTGGTCACAAATGGGGTTAGGTTAGGTTCAATTTTTTTTATCAAAAAGGGACAAAAGCTCAAGTAGGTACTTCAAGAGAAGGGAATTCTTTTGAGTGAGTGAGTACAACAACTTGGAATGGAATGCATTAAATGATGCAGCTTAAGAGGTTCAAACATTCTTTCGCCATGTTTTTCATTATTTTACCTTATATGGGATTCTTTTCAACTCAAGGCTCTTGTTGTATTTTTTTTTCTTTCTTTTTCATTCATTAATCATCAATTTTTTATGAACTTTGACAATCATTCTCTTTTTCAATTTCAAACATTTTTTTTACATGTATTATTACCATGTATGATGTTCATCACCCCAAACTTAAGATTTTGCTTGTCCTCAAGCAACTACAGTGATAATCAGCACCACAAACTTAGTTTCTTGCATTCACTCTTGATGCAACTCAAAAGAAATTCCTTTCTTAAGGTAAGAAAAATAGTTTTATAGACCAAGTTTGACAGAAATCATAGTTTGGAAAATTGCACAATGCATATTCAATTAAAAAATAAGGCAAGTTCTAGAGGATAGATGCAAAAATACATGTAAAGTGCACACAGAAAAGAAATTTAAGGCCCAATTCTCTACCATGATAAAGGTGATAATTACTTAGCAACGTGTGAGTACAGTTCACCTTACAAAAAAATATGTTCAGTAGGGTAGGAATAGTAAATATGTACAAAACAGAGACTGCTTGTGAGTTGAATGAGAAGCGTAATTAGAATATAAAATTAGAATTACAAAACTAAACTAAATTAAAAGAGAAAGATAATGAAAATATTTTTATTTTTTTTATTACTGTGCAGGGAAATTAGACTAAAAACATGTGAAACAGAAGCAAAGAGATCACTCCCCTTTCATGGATGATGATGGCTCACAATTCAGGGGTCAAATTGATGCTCACTCTCATTTTTCTTCATAAAGTGACTACCTTAAGTGCTGAAAGTGGTCATTTTCTTTCTGCACTTGATCTTTTCTTTAATATAAGCAAACTTGGGTCTAAGAATTTTAATCTTCTTCTGCAACATTGAATTTATGCAGAAACACATATCATTAACAAGCTTAATGCAGAGTGAAGTGCTTGTGCAACAAAATTATGCAGAAAACTCATCAATCATCACAGCTCAAATGTAAGACCATTATTGAATGCAGAAAAACAATTAAGAATTCCTAGGAAATCTGTGAGTTGCCTCTCACACACCGCTCTTTTAACGTCATTAGCTTGACGCCTTATGATCTTTGATTTTAGGAGATACTTTTGTTGGTAGCAGTTTCGGTTGTATCCCTAGATATTCCTCCTTTTTCTCATAAATTTGCAGCACTTCATTTAATTGGAAACATGGAAGAAATAACTGTGGAGGGACTCCCAGTTGCTTGATAAACTCAATGAGCTTTTCTTCATGTTCTTGATTACCTTGATGTTAAGAATATTTTGTACTCTTGCTATACTTTGGCTGCTGCATTCTTAGATATATAGTGATGTAATATCCATACTTCAATTGCTCAAGAAATGGCTTCAACTCAAATGCAGAAGGCAGCTCTAGAGAATGAGGCAATGAAAAAACTGGAGCTGAATCTATAGCTTGCATTTCAATAAATGCATCGTGATTCATTTCCTTCAAACTTGCAATGGCTGCATCATGATTTGCTTCCTCAGAATCTGCAATAGCTGCATGAAAATCACCATACACATATGTATCAATTTCAGTACAAAAGCTATATTTTGTAGAATCAGTACAAGCATCACAAGTAAAGGAATCAGAATAAGTGGCTAAGCTAGGATAATCAATATAATCTAAAAACTCAACCAAATTATCATCTACTAAATTATTTAACAAATCAATATGGAAAACTGAATGAAATGAATGAGAAACAAGTTGCTCAAAATTTTCTGCTGCATTAGTAGAAGTAGCACAAGAAGTCAGAGCATAATCTACACTTGTTGCGCTACTATTTTTTTTGCAATCACTTGTTGGAGCAGTAGCATTAAGATCTTCATTAGTTGGTTGCTGCTCTTGCGAGTCTTGAATGGTCTTTTCTAATCTCAAGGTGTTTTGCACTAGCACCTTGAGATTGCAAATGGTTCAAAGCAGAAACCAACTGTCCAATCTGATTTTTCAAGTTTTGAATGGTTGCTTCTATTCTCTACTAGAAATTCAGATCATTAACTACCATTTCCCTCATCAATTCTTCCAAGGAAGGCTCATTCTTGGAAGGTGCAGCAGTTTGTGGTGGAGGTTGATATTCCTGTTATGTAAAATTTCCTCATCCCAAGTTTGGATGATTCATCCAACCTGCAGGCTCATGCAATGCAGGACAGAAGTCAGTAGAATATTCAGGTGAAGCATAAATCTCACACAACATTGTATCCATCTGTGATAATGTCAATTGCTTGATCAAAAATGCTAAATCATCTAGCTTGTTTTTTAGTCTTCTATGATCAGCAGCATGAAAAGTTCTCTCAGCCATATTATCAAAATCAGAGTGAAAAGATAGGAGGAAGAAGTAGGAAAAGAAACAGAAATAGAGACACTATATAACAGAATGATGCAGAATGGGAATTATGTTGAAAAATTATGCAGCAGAATGTAGAAAAACAACAAAAACAGAGTAGAAAACAAATGCAAAAATCTGCAGAAAACAGAAAATTATGCAGCAGAGTTAAACAGAACAAAAGCAAAGTAGAATGCAAAAACAGTGCAGAAAAATGAAAATAGAAACAAAAAACAAAATGCAGAAATTACTAAATGCAAAAGTGCAAAAAATGAATGCAAAAAAATATGACAACAAAGTGCAAAGAATAATGCAGAATGCAGAATTGCGAAAGAGTGGAAAGCAAAATTATGTAGAGTAAACAGAATGCAAAAATGTAGAAATAGTGTGCTAAGAAATCTGCAAGAAATTATGTAGTAAAATTCGTATGACAGATTAAATAACACACTAACTCTACATAACTTAAAAATAGAGAAATTAAACACTCAAACACAGACTCGTGCAGAATTAAATGGACAACCACACAATTGAAATTATGCTATACTACCATAATGCAAAAATCAAAACAAAACTAATATACTAACATGCAGAACACAAAAACAAAATACTAAACCATGTTTAATATCTAATCAAGCACCAATGATTCCCCGACAACGACGCTAATTTGATAAGCAAAAGATTTGTAGCGAATCCTCATCAAAATATAAACAGAAATTAATGTAATACTAGGGTGCTAACCTAGGTCGTCTCCCATGAATCATTGGATGAGCAACTAATTATCAAACATGTAGTGTGCAATGTATTCAAAAAGCAAGTAAAAAGGGAGGTTTTGTGATTTCAAGTTCAATCAACTTAAGCAGAAAATTAAATTGCAAAGTTTAATCAATAAATGTAGTAACCCCTAGTTCATTCATGTAGAATCTATCCCTATTCCTCTTAAGATTTAATACTCTTCCTCTCCTCCTAGAATTAGGTTAATTTAACAAGTGAAAATCAACCTTATGTTTCCATACAAATTAAGCAATTCAATGGACTCCAATCTCTCATCCCAAGATTACGCAACCTTAGAAATAAACCCAGAATCAAGCAATTCAAGTTTAGAATCTCACTAAAACGAATTAGGGTTAATTAAGCAATGTCCCCCTCATTCAACCATTAATTCAATTCAAGAGATTAGGAAGAAGAAATTCATGAAAGAAAAGGAATTATATTAATATTCAAAACCTAGGAATTGAAGAATCCATATGAACTCACTAGAGATTACAAGAAAATTACCCCTCCATAAGGATGGGTCTCACAATTACAAAATGAAAGTGAAGAGAAATCAATAACATCAATGAAAAAATCAAAGAGAAGTAAGGAGAAAAGAAATTAAACCCTAGGTTAGACCATTGGCTGTCACCCAAGGCCACCCTAGGCTCTCCCAAAAGTATCCTAAAACCCTAAAATATCTAAAGGAAAAGGTTCTGCAAAAAGTTTTCCTACCCTAAGTGGTAAAAATCTATTTATAGTGAAGTGGTCATCGTCCATAGTAGCTATTATGGTTTCATAGTAGCTACGCCCAGTGCTCCCATAGTAGCTACTATGGTTTCATAGTGGCTACGCGCAATAATCCTTGCTGTTGACCCTCTCTGAAGTGTTCACATTGGGTTCGTAGTAACTATGCGCAAGACTGGATGACTTTGGTCTGTCCTGGAGTGTTTACTATGGACTCAAAGTAGCTACGCGTAACACTACTTCAAACTAGAGTCTCTATAGTGTCTACTATGGAATCAGAGTGATCACTTTGGTCTACCCTTTGGATCTAGCTTGCTGTAGTGTCCACTATGGAATTCAAAGTGGTCACTTTTAACTCAAACTTTCTCAAAGGCTAGAAATTCATGAAATAAACCTAGAAATTCCTGCACAATTATTCAAATGATCAAAATTACAAATTATTTCTATGTAAATCAATGTAAATTAACCAAAAATTAAGAAACCTATGATATTTGACCAAAATGATGTTTTTATGTTATTTACACTTCCTAAGTCTACTTTTTCTATTAAGGAACACTAAAAAGACAAGTAAAAATCCAATATATGCGAATTTATCACCCACAGGCTGATGTTAGAGTTTGCTTCTCGTGCCAGCAGCTAGGGCACCTTGCTAAGGACTATCCTACGCCTAGTGGGGCAGTTTCGTCTTCTGCTAGCGCCTTGCATGCTGTGAGGCCTAAAGCGGCTAGAGCTTCAACGACAACCAGATCGATAGCAGAGAGACGTGTATTCACTACTTCTGCATTAGAGGCAACCCAGGCGACGGATCTCATTCAAGGGACAGCGGTAGTGGCAGGTATTGAGGGACGAAGGTACAAAGTAAATCTTATTTGTATCCCGATGTCAGGGTTAAATGTAATCCTGAGTATGGATTGGCTAACTGCCAATCGTGTGCTAATTGATTGTGGCCTGAGGTTTTTAATCTTTCCAGAGGAGCAAAGCTGTGTTGAATTGATTTCTACTCGCCAAGTAGAAACATCCTTAGGCGAGAAAGTATCTTGTTTTGTTTTGTTGGGTGTTATGAATGTAGAAACTAAGCAAAGCCTTCAGTCAATACCAATAGTACGGAAATTCCTGGAGATCTTCCTAAAGGATATTCCTGGAATACCTTCACGTAGAGAAGTGAAGTTTGCTATAGATTTGATTCTTGGAGCTGAGCCAGTGTCTGTAGCACCGAAAGAGTTAATGGAGCTTAAGGAGCAGATTGAGGATCTAATGTGGAAACAGATGATTAGGCCGAGTGTATCACCTTAGGGAGCACCAGTTCTCTTGGTGAAAAAGAAGGACGGAAGTTCTAGATTATGTGTTGATTATCGCAAGTTGAATAAGTTGACAATTAAGAATAAGTACCCATTGCCGCGGATCGACGATTTGATGGACCAACTGAGAGGTGCTAAGATATTCTCTAAGATTGATTTAAAGTCTGGATACCATCAGATCTGAGTGAAAGATGAAGATATTCCTAAGACTGCTTTTCACACTAGATATGGCCATTATGAGTATATAGTGATGCCTTTTGGAGTCACAAAAATGCTCCAGCTGTATTTATGGATTACATGAATCAGATCTTTAGACCTTTTTTTGGATCAGTTTGTGGTAGTCTTTATTGACTATATTTTGATTTATTCTAGTTCGTTAGAGGAACATGTAGAGTATTTGAGGACGGTACTTAGTGTTTTAAAGGAGAAACAGTTGTATGCTAAATTGCCTAAGTGTGAGTTTTGGCTAGAGGAAGTGAAGTTCCTTGGTCATGTTATTTCAGCTAAGGGAATTGCAATTGATCCTTCCAAAGTTAAAGCGATATTGTAGTGGGAAAGGCCACAGATAGCCACAAAGATTCGTAGTTTTGTGGGCCTAGCAGGTTACTACTGGAGATTTATAAAGGGATTTGTGAATATAGCTGCACCATTGAAATGGTTAACTCGCTGTGATCAACCCTTTGTATGAACTGAGGAATGAACAAAGTTTTAATGAGTTGAATCAAACACTAACTTCCTCTCTAGTGTTGATTCTCCCTGATACTAGTCGACCGTTTGAGGTGTATTGTGATGCTTCCCATCAGGGATTGGGATGTGTTGATGCAAGATAAAAGAGTGGTAGCTTATGCATCTCGCCAATTGCGAACTCATGAGCGAAATTACTCGATCCATGACCTTGAGTTAGCTGCTATAATCTTTGCTCTGAAGGTGTGGCAACACTATCTTTATGGAGCTCAGTTTAATGTGTATAGTGATCACAAGAGTTTAAAGTATTTGTTTAATCAGTGAGAGTTAAATATGAGGCAAAGGCGTTGGATGAAATTCCTTAAGGATTATGATTTTTAGCTCTAATACCATCTAGGAAAAGCTAATGTGGTAGCCAATTCATTAAGTAGGAATGTGGTTCAGGCATTCTCCTTAAGAATTAGTGAAACTCTTTTGGTAGAATAATTTTGAGACTTGAACATACATGTGGACTTAACACCTAAAACGATTAGTTGCGGCCGAATTGTGGTGACTAACAATTTCTTATAGGAAATTAAAGACAAACAACTGTGGGATCCGATGTTATGTCGGATTGTATTTCTCTTGGGGACAGATAAGACAAAGGGTTTTAGTGAAGGTGTTGATGGTATTCTCATATGCCAAGGTCGAGTTTGTGTCCTTAGAGATGTTGAATTAAAGAGAGCAATTCTAGAAGAAGGACATAAGGGTAGTCTCAACATTCATCCTGGTGTTACCAAGATGTATCATTTTGAGTAAATATCATAGGTTTATTAATTTTTGGTTAATTTGCATTTAATTACATAGATATAGATTGCAATTTTAATTATCTTGATAATTTTGCAGAGTCCCCAAGTTAATTCTGAGATATCTTGGCCCTTAGATGAAAGTTCCCCAAAGTAGCCACTTTTAGGAGCAAAAGTGGCAACTACAGCAAGTCTAGGCATTAAAGGTTCCAAAGTAGCCACTTTCAAATCCAAAAGTGGCAACTCTAGAGAGCTCTAGGGACGCCATTTTGGAAGCATTTTGAGCATGGCCACTATTGCCTTTCAAAGTGGCTACGCGCATCCAAAGTAGCCACTTTCAAGTCCAATAGTAGCAACTCCAGGAAGCCTAGGACGCCACTTTCGGAAGCATGTTGCGTGTAGCCACTATTGCCTTTCAAAGTGGCTACGCGCATCCAAAGTTGCCACTTTCAAGTCCAATAGTGGCAACTCCAGAGAATTGACAAACTTACGTGAATTGCGCGTGGACACTCTTTTGGCCCAAAGTGGACACTTTCAAAGCAAAAAGTGGACACTTTGCTGACATGGCATCCAATATAAATAGGTTTTAGGAATTAGGGTACGGGACTTTTGACACTTTACACATTTTTCCTTTGCCAAATTTAGAGATTTTCCCAGAACATTGGAGTCTTGGGTGACAGCCAAGGGTCCTCTATAGGTTTTAATTTCCAATTTCCCTTTTGATTTTTGTTGAATTTACATTAATGCTGCTTACGTTCTTATATTTCTTTCTTTCATTTGTGAAGCCCATCTACATGGAGGGCTAAACTTCCTTGTAATTCCTAGTCAATGCACATGAATCTTGCATTCTTGGGATTAATTGCAATACAAATCTTTCTTTCCTTGAATTTATTGACCCCAATCTTTGAATGAAATGGAATTTGCATGAAGGGAACATTGCTTAATCAACCCTAAATTACCCAACGAAATTCTAATTCAAAATTGCTTAATTTTGATTAATCTTTTAGGTTGCTTAATCTTAGGGATAGAGATTGGAGCCCATTAAGATGCTTAATTTTAATTGGGATGTTAAAGTTAATTTTCGCTTGTTAGATTAACTTAATTCAAGAGAAAGAAAGGGGATTATTGAATCATTTGAAAGAATAATGATGGAACTCATTGATTGACTAGGAATTACTCATTTTAATTGATTGAATTTCACTAGTTTACATTATGCTCTTGATTAAAATCTGGAAATTGACAAACCTCCCCCTAATTTACTTGCTTTAAAATATATGTTCACACTTGTTCGATGTATGTTCCCAACCAAAAATTCCTTGGAGAGGACCTAGGACAACACCCTAGTACTGCATTTATTTCTTTGCATATTTGATGAGGATTAACGACAATCTTTTGCATGACGAGTAGCTAAATTCGTTTCATCAGCTGCATCATGCTGAAATATATGTTTTGCATCATTATAGAGCCGAGTTACATGTTTAAGTGGGTAGATGTGTAACGGTAAGTTCATGCTGAGCTATTGTGCTGTGCTGTCTAGATCCAGATACTAGAATGGGTCACTCCCGGACCGGCTTGGTTCCTTTTGGTTTACTTAGGCTGTGAAACTAGTTGGAAACCATTTTCATGTTGTGCATTAGATGGGCTGGAAATGCATGGGCTATTGCTGTGAGAAATATTTTTCTCTATATATATGATTTTATTTATTTTTGTAAGCTCACCCTTGCATTTCTTTCTATGTCGTTGTGTGCGTGTGTAATGTGATGATCGTACGGTGATACGTAGCAGGTGTAGCAGGTGTTGCATCTACTTCACAAGCTGAGGGGCCAGTGGAGAAATGTTAGAAGCTGGAGTCGAGTAATTTTGCATCAAAGTCATTTTTCCTTATATTTTGAGACCTAATGTAGAGAGAGCTCTATAGTATAATGTTGTGTATTTTGAATATTATAAACTAAATGTAATATTATGTCGTTCTATTGGATATTTGATGTAAGAAACTTTGTTTTACTTTGAATGAGAAGTGAAGTTTATACTTATATTCTCTATTATTTATCTATCTTAAATAAGTATATGGTGTAGAAACAATGTTCTCGGTTCCTTATAAAAAGAGTCGTGACACAATCCAATACTCAAAGTTCAGATCCAAAATCAATTCAACACTTCCATTTCAGATCCACAATCCCTAACTACAAAGAGTTTAAGCAACTATTCCAATCTTATGAACTTAGCTCGGAATTTCCTTCAAAAAATATTATTGAATAATTAATTTCTACAAAGAAAATTCATAAAATCTAAACTTCTATGTATTTAAAGAAGACTTTGAACATTCTATTATTTTTATGAGTTTTTCAGCTTTTTCCAACATGTTTTCTTTATCAAATGTATTAAAACTAAAGTAAAATACTGGTAAAATATGGATTTATCAACAGGCAAATGACAAGCCTTACCATAAACCAGCTGAAATGGAGTCAACCCAATTGACATTTTAAATGTTGTTCTATATGCCCGTAGGGTGTCATCTAGCTTTATAGACCAATCTTTTCTTGAACTAGCCATAGTTTTCTCCAGGATCTTTTCAATTCTCTATTGGAGACCTCAGCTTGGCCTTTGGTCTGAGGGTGGTATGGTGTAGTCACTCTATGCTTCACTCTATAATGCTCAAGCAATTTTCTCAGTTGAATATTACAAAAATGTGATCTACCATCACTAATGAGCACTCTTGGATCACCAAACCTACAAAATACATTTTTCTTCAAGAACTTGATAACAGTCTTAGCATCAGCCTTCTGAGTAGCACTAGCTTCTACCTATTTTGACATATAATCCACAGTCACAAGTATATATTCATTTGAGTATGAAAAAGGAAGTGGACCAACAAAATCAATCCCCCAACAGTCAAATAGTTCAACCTCAAGGATCGTCTGTAAAGGTAACTCATGCCTTTTCAAAATTTCACTTGTTCTTTGGCATTTGTCAAAACTCTTGTAATGCTCATGAGCATCCTTGAAGATAGATGGCCAATAGAATCTACTTGCAACACCTTGGTAGCTATGCGCTCACCATTGTAGTGACCACCATATGGAGAATTATGGCAGTGCCATAAGATATCCTTGCGTTCACTCCTTGATACATACCTTCTTAGTAAATCATCAGCTCCAATCTTGAATAAGTAAGGGTCATCCTAGACATAGAAGTTAGAGTCTTTGAAGAATTTCTTTCTCTGGTGCCAGTTGTAATCCTCAGGAATGACTCTTGTTGCCTTGTAATTTGCAGCAAACCAGGGTCTTTCACTCACAGCAAACAATTTTTCATCTGAGAACTCTTCCAAGACATCACCTTCTTGACTGGTCACCTGTTCATTTACAAGTCTTGATAAGTGGTCAGCAACATGATTCTCACACCTTTTTTGGTCTTTGATATCCAAATCAAATTATTGTAATAATAGGATCCACTGGATCAACCTGGGCTTAGAGTCTGATTTTGTCAACAAGTACTCTATAGCTGCATGGCCATTGTACACAGTAATTTT